GTCTCTCTAAAATTTTAATAGTCTAAATAACTATTACAAAGCCTAATAAAGTTGTGGCATGATTGCCAAATTTGAACCAAAAAAAAATAAAATTAAATATGCTAGTATAATGTATTTTTATGTGCTGATCAAGGTTTGTTAGAGTATAAAGTTATAATCAGTTAGTAAAATTTTGAGAATCATAGCATTTTTTGGTATTTTTATTAATAAAATTATATAAAATATTAAGATTTTCAAAATTTTACTAATTGATTATAATTTTATGCTCTAACAAACCTTGTTCAGCACATAAAAATACATTATGCTGGCATATTTAATTTTATATTTCTTGGAAATTTAAGAGAATATGCTTAATTTTGGATATTTTGATCAAAATATCCAAAATTAAGCATCTTCTTTTAAATATTCATGAAATATAAAATTAAATATGCCGGAATAATGTATTTTTGTGTGCTGAACAAGGTTTGTTAGAGTATAAAGTTATAATCAATTAGTAAAATTTTGAGAATAATAAGATTTTATATAATATTATTAATAAAAATACTAAAAAATGCTATAATTCTCAAAATTTTACTAATTGATTATAACTTTATGTTTTAAGTAAACTTTTTCAGCACTCAAAAATACATCTTAATTTATTTTTTTTATAAATATATATGTGATAATTGAATTTTCAGCGAATTACTATCAAATTTATATATTATATTGAATTTTTAACAAATTCACTTGATTTTAGGGGTAGCGAAAACCCCCAAATTTATGCAGATCAGTTATAACCTATATGAAAGATGCCCGGGGTTCTGAATTAGAATTATTTTTGATGGATAGTGATTCTTCTAACAAATGGGCAATAATGGCTTATTCCTCCGTATTTTGATAATGTGAATAGGATTTAAGGTTTTTTGTGTTTATGCTTTGGTCCATAAGGTCATATTTGTTTACCTGAAAAATCAACTTCCCTGATTTTTTTCCTTTTGCGATTGGTAATATTTTGAATTTGTTATTTGAATTGTTACGCATAATGATTTCGAACATGATTGTTTTTTTTTTTACTTGTACTTGATTATATTAAAAAACAAATCGTAGAAAACTCAATTTTTATTGTTCAAAAAAAAAAACTACAAATAATCGCTACTATAATCTACTACCGTACTGCATCTAAAATCTAACTATCATACTACATACAATTCTAACACCCAAATCTAACCATTATACTATATTAGCTATAACATCCTGAACTACTTCTAGTTTTATAGTTCTAACTATCATGCTGTGTCTAGTTCTAACATCTGAATCTAACTACCATACTACTGTATATAGTTTATGTCTACTGTGCTATGTTTATAGTTCTAATTAAGACAGCAAAGATTCTGAACGCAATGACTTAAAATTATCAACGTTTAAAGTTCAAATTTCTAAGAGTGGTACTAAGACAATGAAAGTCTCAAAACTCTAATAGCCAAATTATGTACTACCAGCTTGGTAAAACTTAGCTATATTTAGATTTATATAATGATCTACATTTTTATTTGTTTACATTTTTTTAACCAATCAAATCGAATGTCCACCATGCTCGTTATGCTATTAAAAGGCGTCTCAAAGTATGTAATGAGCCTTCTATTATCGCAAAAGTTAACTATATATATTGAGCATTTGTATAACTAGCTATAATATGCTGCACATCTAAGATGTTTGTCGAACACATTTTGAGTAGCAGATATCACAAGCTCAAACCCAAAAAGAGGCAAATCATGATCATGGAAGAGAATATCGAGTTGTCTACAACATTGACTGTCTTCATCACTCTCCTTTGCTTCTGCCAAGACACGATAAAGGAGACTCGTGTGAGCTGCAGCAAGTAACTCCTTGAAAATGCTTACAAACTTTGCCTGGACAGCATATTCCAATAGTCTATTGTTTCTGTTCATTGTTTGCGGTGCAAATATATTTTCCTAGGCTATATGCTAGTAGTATGAAAGATGAGTACATGGACAAATTCACACAATAGAAATAACAAAGTGTTAGTATATGAGCTAGGTACTAGAAAAAAGGCAATTTTTCAGAAAATTTTTTTTTTTTTACATAGAATAAGATAGAGATTGTACCCAGTAGACATTTTTATTATATAACTATAATAAATTACCTGAATAACCAGGTAATTTAATAATACCCAAGTAGTGATTTTTTGATGGGTACAATTTCTAGAATAAGATTAGATCATTTTTTACTTAAAACACAAAAGTAATTGCATTAATAGAATTTTGCAGTATAGCTCTTTAAAGTTTGTATTTTCTCATAATTTATTACAGTTATCCTCTATAATCATGCTATTTGTTTTACGTAAAAAATATATGATTATAAAATTTTAATAGTAGTATGTTATATAGAGTTTTTTTAATAAGTATATTGTCAATAATTTTTAAAAAAATGGTGCTTATAAAGAGGATGTGATTATATAGGAGGTGGCTGTAGAGGAGGATGACTGTATAAAATTTATAACATAAAAATTTATTTTCTGAATCTTTTTTTTTGTTATTTAGACCCTTTCTTAGCATCTAGCTCATGTCAAAGTAAAAGCTTGCCTCTATGATTCGCACAAGAAGCCAGCAAGGTTCGATATAATCTGATAGTGGTGGTTGAACATCCTGTATCTTTGTTTCACAAGCATTATAAAGCATTATTGTTCGCAATATCGAAGCTATGCATTCTATTTCAACTGATTGCAATGAAACGTTTCTGACAGCCCTGACTATGCCTTCCAAGTAGTGTTCCTATGAACCGAACTGAAACCGAACTTTGGTCAAGTTCAGGTTCAGGTTCAGTTCAATCATGTTC